AAAGACACGACCCGCAAACGGCGTCACTATACCGACACCGTCGATGGTGTCCGGCTCCGCCGCAAGATAAGCCATCTTGCTCAAACAGTCGACGAAGACCACGATACCCATGTTGCCCGCCGAGTTCTTCGCAAAATCCAAACTCATGGACTGCCAATACTCGGAGTGTAGCGGCAAACTGGCCAGCGGCGCCGCCACTGCCGGAGAAGGTTTCACACTTTGACACGTCTTACACATGCTCACTAGGTTCTCGTCCATTTATACAACTTGGGCCATTAGAAGTGGCAACCTACAGAGCTGTAAGTCTTCTCACGGCCAAGATGACCACTGAGTGGGGTGTCGTGTACCTAGTATAGGATACTATACATCAAATCCACATCGTGAGGAGCCACGATTCGTGGCGTATCCGTCGAGTGGGTGCTATCTTACAGCAATACATTATTCAATAATATCGGGACAACTGCGCACGCAGTCGCGATGACAGTTCCTTGTCCGAGTCTCCGAACCACTTGCTCCCGAGAGCCATTAGTAGCGCTATACCCATATCATCACCTGCATGAGTGGTGTGAATCAAATTCGTCACTGCAGACGTCACCGCCATGGCATACGCTAGCTCATAAAGTGGTCCTTGTGACATTGCATCAGCCAAAGCATTCAGCTTTCCTGGCTTATACTTCACATTAAAATTTATTCTACGAAGAAGGAGAGCTACCTAGCTATCCTCTGCGAGAGGTGAGGCGACCGAATTGCAGTGCGTAATGACCCATGATCTGTGTAGATCACGAACGGCTTGGAGCTGAGCAGGTGATCCCTAAATTGACAAAAGCAAACTTCAGTGCGAGTAATTTTTTGTCGTGAACTGGGTAGCTTTTCTCTGAAGTTTCGAGCTGGTGAGATTCGAACGCAATCACCCGATCTCCCTCTCGTCGTCTCCTTGCAGCAGTGCACAGCCAACGGCATAGTCCAAAGCGTCAAAGACGACACTAAAAGACGATTGGTGTCTAGCACCGCCAATATTGGTGCATGAAAGAGGCTGTCTTTTACCCTGTCTAAAGCCTCCCAATGCTTGGTGTCCCAACACCATTCAGCATCCTTCCAAAGGAGATTCGAATATGGCCGTGCTATTTTAGCATAATTTGCGCTATGTTTGTGCAAGTAGTTGACGAGAGCAAGCTACTTGCGCAATGCCTTTTGTTTCTTAAAACCGGCCAGTCCACAATGGCCTTTACCTTGGTGGGATCATCTGAAGGCAACGTTTTCCAGTAAAACATTCTAGTAATGGGATTTCTTTGCCGTAAAAAATCACTTATCCAGATAAGCATACAGCTTAATTGTGCGCAAGCACTCGAGCACCGCTTTGAAATGGATGATGTGTTTCACCACATCCTCCTCCCGTGCTCTGCACGACTGTGGACGAGGGTGTCGTCAAAGTATGTCTGGGTAGATGCCGCGAAAGGCATTTTTAACTGCGTCACAAGACGATTAAATGTATATGGTGCATTTGACAGCCTTTTGAGCATCACCAGCCACTCCCAGAGCATGCCGCTAGAAGTACTCAAACGCTGTCAGCGGAATATCACTCGCTCTCATGAGGTATGGTAATACCCATGGACCAAGTCGTGTGCACTGTTGTTTGCACATCTAAACATGTTGTTCTGGTGGACTTGCTTCCCAGGATTCGGCGTCTGTACCGGAATGGTGGCGCCGACGAGCTTATTGTGAGCGTGAACGATACGGCACTTGCCCTCTAGCTTTCGGACACGAAACGTGGGTGTAGAATGGAAGAACTTGCTCTCACGTACCATTCCTGAATCGTGCTTTGCACGGAAAAAGGCGGCAATGACGCCGTACTGCTGGTTAAAAGGGGCCAGTGGCGTGTACGCAGTGTTGGATTGCCGGAATCAGGTCGATATCATGACGCACGCCTCGGGTTGGAGGTAGGACCGACGGCGGGTCTTTGTAGACGACGTCTTAAAATTTCTTCACCAAAGGATTGTACGGATCCGAGAAATTCTTCATAATTACAGATCTACTTCGTGCGCTAAGGTTTTTTTGGTGTCCAGGACAGCTTTAACCAGAAGCGACGACGGGTTCATCTCCTCTTCCGGTTGTATAATCACCACTTCGGCTAAGTCGCCTGTCTTCAAGGCACCACCGAACTCTTCGAGGGACATCTCGTCCAGCTCAAGAAAAGCATCCACCGCAGGAATAGCCTCGGATATGACGTCGACGCCTTTCTCCCCCATTATTGCGTTGGCGAGGGTGTATAGTTGTGCGCTATCGCCTACGTTGGACACATCCTGGGTCAGGGTCAAAGCTTGGCGTCTTGCAGCTAGCATACAGCGTTGCTGTCGCCTGTTCCCGGAAGTTGTATGTCCTGGCGAGACCAGTGTGAACACGCACGCAGTGTCAACCAGAGCACCACTTCCTGCTCCACCGGAGTCCTGATTTTATTCACAACATCCGACAAAGAGCTGCTAGCTCCGCAGTCTTTTTTCAGTAGATAGCGTGCCACTCCACGCGCATCTGAAGGGCCTTGCAAAAGATGTCTTGCACCCTGTACAAGGGGTGCCATCAATAGCATGCGGCGATTGCTTCGGAACGTGAGCAGTGCTCAGTGGATTAGGTGCATGAATAGGACCTCGCCCTCGATACCTCGGACCACTTCAAAACGTAAGCACTGCTCACGTCACGTGCATCACTTGAGCCTCGCCTTTAATGCCTCGGCCCTTGGCCGACCATGCTACGCATGACATGCAGCGACTGCCACGATACTTGAGCTGCGCTCAGTGGTTTACGTGTCTATCCACGTTCAGCCTGCGAGCCGTGCTCGAGCCTCCTGTCCAATACATTTTCGGCGTTCGGCAAATCAAATACTCCAATCTCCTGCACGGTGATCGACTCATCCCATGCCCATGTCAATGGTGTTTTCGCCTCATAGTATAGGTGAATTCATGACTCACCAAAGCTCCACTAAGAGACGTGCGCGTAGCGCCCTAGGTCTTCGGCCTCCAGTCAAACCATGGCTCATGGAGTTCCAGCCATGCTATACCAAAGATATGGTCAAAACTTCAATTCAAGGCTAAGGCTAAGCAGCGTTTCATGCTATCAAAGTCAAGAAACCTGACACCGAGGTCCAGATGGACCTTCGGCACCGTATCATATGTCCTCGTTGCTAAGCGAACAATGACGATGCCACTCAATCGCGCATACAGCTAACTTCTTTCCATCGTGGAGCGTCGACCATAATTGACCGACGCTCCGGAGTCGATCAGGATCTTCCATGTTCTCAGTGCCCATCACGGACGCTTTGACGATTAGCAACCCGGCTCTTGGTTGAATTAAAGCACAAAATGTCGCAAATACGGGATCATCACAGCTCACATAAAGTGTTAATTTGACTTCGGAAGAACTAGAATCAGAAAACACATGACGCTTCCGTTTGAAGCCTTAATTTGCGCCTCTTATGCTGTGTATCAGCACCATTTGGTATTACTCGAGAAAAATTGATGAGGAGCCGTGAAGAACTGGGTAATGAACACCTTTTTTGTACAAGCAGGCAGCTAGCCAAGCCTTCCTTTATAGCAGAAACACTAATCATTTTACGATAGCCTTGATTCTTGCGAAACATAAATGCAGATACTTTTCGAGTAGCCTTCAAAAAGCGGATTCTAGTGGCGCATAAAAAGATGTTCTCTCTACTGACTGTAAGCTTATTGAAGTGCACACACCAAACAAGTCTTAATGTAGATCTTGTTATCTGATTCCGCATGATCTGCACGAATGGGGATGAGTTTACTGTCCAAATATGCTTTTGCCCTGGCACGATGTGACGCCACCAGACGATTGATCGTTGATGGTCGGTCTCTGCGATGTAAACTATCACATTCGAAGCATTTCGCTCGAAAGGCTCACCGCTTATAGAGATGAACATCACTGTCTCTTGTGAGCACTAAATAATATATTTTACCTAGGCCAAGAGCTGCCGCATATAAACGTGCTATATGGCAGTACATTTCGACTCGAAATCAGCCTTTGAGTCAATACTGCCGATGCATTTGCTTATGCACACTTGCCGCTTGTCGTCGCCTTTATGACATCGAATACCGGTGCCGAGTGTCAAGATTCACTTTCTCTCAGCAAAACCACTCGGTGGTCTTCAAATTGTTATCTTGGTAATGATCAGTGCCGTTTGATGCAATATTTGATTCCGTGAATTATGTCAATTTTAAGACGCACTCATCTGTCCGAAGAGAACACGCAGTGGATCTATCGTCACCATATACCACGTCGTACTATTCCTTTAAGAGAGGACAAAAATATAATCTCGCGGTTTCCTATGTAAACGGACCACTACAAGTCGCAGGTATGAGAGCTAGGCCTGAGCTTAACAAGCACGACTCATCCTTGACACAAAGTAACGGTATATTTGAGTCAGCATTACCCTGTGCCGCTCCGCTGTTTTACAAATTCCAGTTCTTTGATAGTTGTGAGCCGAACTCGCTAAGAAAGTAGCACTTTTAGAGGCTAGTTTTGTTGCACACAATCTCAACGTGGTATAAGAGACTGCAACTCTTTTCCAATAGGTCACACCACGCTTAATACGACTCAACGTTCCATGCAACACACATGTTAGGCACTCCTGCGTCAAGACCCGCCTCTTCATACGTTGCTACACACGTACTGGTTCTAAGTATAAAACGAAGGTCACTGAACTTAACCAAGCTTCCTCTAAGCGAAAAAGCTATGGTTGTTTGCTGCAAAAAATGACGTTTGCGAGTAGCTCAAAACATTTGACTATGCAGTTTTGTGATATTCAAACGCGAGACAGAGACAAGGTCCCATTCACATTAGCCAAAGACACTGGATCAGATCAAAATCGTTCTGGTAAACGAACCTTCAAGGCGGAAAAGGGAAAGACCGATGGCACCAACGAAAACTCCTCTCTGCAAACTGCAGTCCCTACAGACGACTAATTCGGTTCAGATAGAATGCGCCACTCAACCGTCGTCTTTCCATGACAACAAAGAGACACGACTGGGTAAAGTGGCGCCGCGAGAACTCACTTGATGGGGATACATCAACGTATTTTGCTTTTGGCTGCCGGAAGTTCCGACACCGAAGAAGAGGAATGGCTACAACAGTAGTTAATTACAGCCCCCGGCCTTCTATGTACCGCAAAATCTAGCAGATGCCCAAGCCAAACTTGAACAGGATACGACTCTGCGTTGTTCAAAGCCCTTCGATCAATGGCTTAAAAAGCTTACAGGTCCAGCGGAAGACAAGCTTTATATAACGATAAAAATACCCAGAACCATGGCTGCAAATATCCTGGTCTATTTACGTTCCCGACATTATATATTTGTCTGCACTACGCAGTACACGGCTGTCGTAAGCGACACGCTGAGCCGACAGTGCAGCGCATACTCATCTGCGTGATTATGAACGCCGAAGCTGATCAAGAATAAGCGGGCCAATGACCAAATTTTGATATCTAGTGTTTGTGGCCTCCACTCCATTACACTCAGTAATCTCACGCGTCTCTTTCTTGGTTTGGTCCGTTAACATACCGAGCGGTGGAAATTCAAGCAATTCGAGCCTTTAACGCAGGAAATAGAGACACCCAAAAATCAAGTAATACCGTGAGGCTATCTCGAAAACGGTGAATACTTCCTTCGAGTTGAAATCTCCAAACTTTACTTGATTTTTTTTTGGCGGTGACTATTGCACCAGTGGCCAATTTCACTAATGTAAAGCCATAATTCCATCTAGAGCATCCAAAAGCACTGAATCATTTTTGGCAGTATTTTACATCCGCGCGATGTTACGCGACGCGCCGGAGTCAAACAAGAATCTAAACGGACGACCTTAAACCTTCATACCCGCTGTGACAGCGAGAAGACCATGTCGTTAGCGAAGTTCAACGACCCTTCGTGTGCTAGACCCTTTTGAATAATTCTACCACTTTACTCACAAAAGCTTATAACTGCCTCAGTAGACCGCCCTTCATCTACTAAAATCCGGCATTTCTCAAACGCCTAGTGGTATTTGTGCCAGTCACTCGTGACAATTACGACGAGAACCGTATTGAGAGTTTCGTCTCTCATGTGGACAGTTACGGCACATGTGGCCAAGTTGTTGACATCTGTGACAGCTAACTTGCTGCCTACGGACAGTCGCCGCGCTTATATCCATTTGTTTTGAATTCCCTGTTGCTGCAGTTATTGCTTCTATCGGGTTGACTGGATGACCACATGCTTGATTCTGACAGTAGTCCTCACGCAAAGCAATCAGAATTGCAGCATCCAGAGTCGTCGGGCGCTGGCGGACGACTTCAGTCTTGGAAAGACCATAAGAGAGTCCCTTTATCAACACAGTGACCATCACTGCCTCTGGCAGTGGCTCGCTAGAAATTCTGGCACAAATTTCACGGAGTTTCCGTACATAGTCGTGCAACGTGTAGTTGTCTTGACGGCATGACAGAGACTTCGATTGTTGTAAAAACGCCACGTCCGGTAGAAGGTACATCAAATCCATGGCCATCTTCACCTCTTGTCATGTGGCAAAGTAGCCAGGGTGGTTGACTTCCCACGTCATCGCCCAATCCTTTGCAAGGCCATCCAAATGCGACACGGCAAAGACCACTAAAGTATGGTCATCACAAATTTGAGACATTGTGATAGTGTTGTCCATATCTCGCTGCCAGAGCGCAAAATTTTTATCTTCGTTCCCGTAACCGCTTCTTACTTTGATTTAACGGGACGTTCCGTGTGTACTGGCTGTGTAACCTCCACTTGTGGGGGTGATAAAACATATTCTACGATAGAAATCTCAATAATCCTTGCCCACACACAGCAAAATTTGTAAAGCATTGAGTTATCGCTTCTTGATTCAATTGGAGCACATCGGAGACCGCGTGATCCCCGATTGAAGGTGGCACTTTCATCACACACTCGCACTGCAAGTGAATGCTCCCCCCTGTTGATCCGAGGACGACCACAGCCTGAGGTGTCCACATTATCCATAAAAAAAACCATCGAAGTAGTCGGCGTTGAAATGACTACTAGTGCTACCAAGTGTAACGGGAATCGCATGTCCGTGTGCACACACTCTCTGAAGAAGGCTTAGATCAGCTGACTAGCCTCACAGCATGTTGCTCGCTTCTAGCAAGTTGCTGACTTACGCAAGGTGGAGGAAAGGTGAAGTGACTAAGATAGCTAACAGGCTTTAACCCCCTGAGCTGATAAGTAATTCCCGTTCTTATACAACAGCACTGAAAGGGGATATGCAACTATACAGGGTGTACAGTAAATGTTCGACACACCAATACTGTGGTCCACAGAACATACAGATTTGCTGCTTCAATGGTGTTGTGATCGATTCTAGCCTGTATCTGTCGAAGAACTAGCTACTTTCATTGATTCTAGCTTTATCGTGGCTTTTTACGACCAGGAGTTCTTTCAACATCTACTAAGCCTCCCCGTATGGCTCTGACCACCTCTTAATATTCTAGCAAGAATATTGGCAATGTCTAGAAACCGCGATTCTGTGACTTGGTGCGCTTTGTGATCGCCTGTATTCTTGGACTCGAAGTTGTTGACATCGCCATACTGCGTTGTTGAAATCTTCAAACACCAGAATGTAGTTGAATCAGTTTTTGCGTGGCTAGAGGCAAGTATTCAGTAATGTGTTTGGATGGTGGATGCACCAGCGATCCACCGCTCCAAGCTATACGAGCCTGCCGCAGCATACATCGCGTCCAGGACGAGCGCGGAGCAAGGGCTGAGATAATTCAATGCTAGGATCCAGAGGCGCGAAGAGATTACCGAGCACGACGTGAGACGCGTTATTTTCGAACAGGTCGACGCGAAAGTGGTCGAAGAAAATCCTCTTGTCAGAGTCGTCGACAGGCGAGTAGACGTCATAGATGTAACCTAAGAGCTCAACCGACACCCAAACCACTAGGAAGAGACCGGAGACAGTCAGATCGGATAGATCCTCTATGTGTCGAGGTTTGGAAGTACAAACGGAGCGGAGTAAGCACTTCACCGGACCGAACGGTGACCGGGATGCGCTTTTGGCACGATCGCTAAACAAAGCGTTTGTGCTGGTACCAGATTTTAGCTGAACTTCAGGTGTCGAGGTGGTGGGAGTCCCGTAGATGTTTTTATTGGACACAGGATACGCCATGACGCTGAGAGAGGTTTGTGATAAACAGGTGTCCTTTCTTCTTGATTCCATTGGTGCTAACTGTAAGCAGACTGACGTTTTAGCACGAGATCTCGGCGGTGTAGCCACTTTGAAAACTCAGACTGTGAGTAATATTCACGAGTATGAGCATATAGTCCATCTTGTCTAGCTGGGGCACGCTTGCATCGTTCGGGTAGAAGCCATCTCTGGCTCGGAGGGTGCGAGTTCGTCCAACAAGGTACCCTGCAATTGAACGTGTTCCCATAGTTGGAAGCGTATCCCGTCAAGATCGAATCACAACAGCTCCAAGAGCAAGTTTATGCGCAGCAAGCGATGACTGTACGCTGGAAGTTATGCGATTATCCTACCCATTTTATGCCTGATCCAGTGGGCATTTTCGAAGGCCGTAAACATGAGCATGAGCCCAAAGAGCTTTGGATAATCACACTAGCTACTTTGTATTGTCCGATGAAATCTTTTATCACTGGGCCTCGCGCTGGTACACACTCTCTTTATTTTTCTTTGGAACCTGTCTCCAATCTTGTCGAATTGTTTTCCAACGTGATTGAATTCATTGGATCCGAAGAGATCATCACACAGTTGATCATATTGAAAAGCTCCAAGTCCCTGACATACAAGCTGGTGGCGGCCATCTCTCGGAGTGACAAGGTGATATATGCTAAACATGCCGAGCACAAGATGTAGTATACGTAGCAGTAGCTTTCGAGTACATAACGGACTTCTCAACGGCGGGATTAGCATTGTTCATTGGTGTCCGGGCTGGAGACGCCCTTGCTGAACGATGGCATCCTGCTGGAGCACGCTTTACAATGACGTCGCTCTTGGTGGTTGGGCATCGACGTCAGCAAACGACAGTACCTACTGCGGTGCCTGAATGGAGGCAAGGTTCCTTTGTCTCGGCCTTGATCTAAAGGTCCCTCACGACACCACAATCAGCTGGCCACGCTGGTTTGGGTTTATTGGGTGCTGAAGAACAGCTTAACTGCCGTGGTGTGAGGAGAAGTACACACGAAGCCTGCTGGGTAGAGTCCGCTAAAGGCTTGCCCAGTCTGGATCATTATTATGTAGCGTGCTTTAGATAATGCTTACAAACGAAGGCTCGGGGAAAAGTTGAACAAGATTGCCTTGATTGAGGTTTTGGGTACTCTTGGCTTCATACAGCACATCGATGGAGTTGGTATCTGCAGCAATCTGCTGCTGATATTCGACCGGTTGCTTCTAAATGTCATCGCGTCAAATCTTTGTGGTCCGTTAAAGTAGGGACGCCAGGTTAGTGGGTGCGTACCCCTAAGTACAAGATCATCTTACTAATTGTTTAGAAGCCGAAATATATAACAGTCAATCCAAGCGGAGGAGAGACGGTCGAAGGAAAATGAGCGACAGATCAAAGGGGAAGGAATTCAAGTTTACCACACAAGGAGGTGAACAAGAACAGGATGTTCGGAAAGAGAGACGGAAGCGACAGCTACGAGAACAATGACGCAGATAAGAACATTGTTTCGAGGGCAACTACTTCAAATTTGGAAAAGTTGAATCTTTGAAACGCGATTGACCAGACAAGACCATCTCCAGCGCTTCATATGAGACCAAGTGCTTATTGACCCAGCACATTAAAAGTCTAAGCACATTACAACCGCAACAGAAGATTGCTAGCCATCGTGATATAAGTGTGGGTGATGGTCACGATATCATTGAGCCTACAGTCAACGAGACTTCGTATCTGCTATTTTCCATTTTGACCATTCAATGATTGATATTAGCTTAGCTTTCATGAATATTGGCGTCTTTAATGATTGAGTTTCAAGACACGTCATCTTAACATAAACTAAACTTTAGTTTTGATCATTCTTTGGTGTGCATGACATTTTTAAGTCTAACAACATACAATGCGAAATCGCTGACTGACAGCTCAAACTGTGGCGCCACGTCACGTGTGTGGTGCACAAAGGCAACTTGCACACACTTTTTTTATGTTGTATACAACGACAATATATATGCAGATGTCTATCACTTTGACAATTACCATCACTGTGAATACTACCATGAGAGTCTACGTTCTTGTCGCCATCCTTATAAGTGGAGTTAGCTTTTGCTTTGCGGTCAGATTGAGAGCAAAAGCATGTAATGATACAGACTTCAACGGTCGTGATCTGCTTTGCACTT